TCATTCACTGTGGTAAGATTTTTTGTTCTGATGATGCCTGATACCTGATCCCTTCGACACCTCGTGATCACACACACAGGCTGATATGTGCTTCCATGTGGGCTTTGTTGCTTCTGAGCTAGATGGCCGCTTGTTTACCTTCAAGCTTTTACGACCCCAGGGCAATAGAATTTTTAAAACCCCACATTTTAATATTTTAGTTTTAAAAATAAAAGCTTCTATGATTTTACAGCAAGACTTTTTTAGTTACCATCATATACCTGAGTGGAATTTTTGGGTCATCTGATAAGGAATTGCAACTTGTTTTCCAAAGTAGTTGCATCACTTTACATTCCTACTAGCAATGGTTCCAATTTCTCCACATCCTCAACCCTTGTTATTGTCTGCCTTTTTAATTATAGCTATTCTGGTGGATGTGAACTGGTATCTCATTGTGGTTTTGATTTGCAATGCCCAAATGACTAGAAATGTTAATCAGCAACTTTTTTATCTGCTTGTCAATCTCTCTTATGCATGCCTTCTTTGGAGGAAAGTCTATCCAGAACCTTTGTTTAGTTTTAAAAATTGGGTTATCTTTTTATTGTTGAGTTGTAAATATTCTTCATGATTTTTTGAAATCATTTTATTGGGTACTCTTACAGATATCATAACATTCCATAGTTCATTCACATCAAGCAATATTATACAATTGTTACCACAATCAGTTTCAAACCATTTTCTTTCTTCTTGAACTCCTTGATATCAGCTCCTTCCCCACTCCCAGCCCTTATTCCTTTTTTCCCCCTACAATAGGGTTTTTAGCCATATCTTACAAAATCCAATATATCCATTCACATGCAATTCTGTTGATCGGTTCCATCAAGTGGGCTTATACATGCTATCAGCTCCCCATTCCCCCCTTATCCCCCTCTTTCTGTATCCTCAGGGACCAACACTCCTGTTACTGTTTCTGATGGGTTATTGATCTTGACTTTCATGTATTGAATGATCTTAAATATACAAATGAATATACACAAATCTAGCATGATTAATGAGGTAAAACAAAAACTATGATGGTAAGAAGAGGAAATATTAAAGAACTAGAGGATAGTTATGTGGTTTATTAGTGCCATACCTCACCCTGGATTTATCATCCCTTCTGTGTGGCCCTTCTGAAAGGGACTGTCCAATTATCTTACAGGTGGTTTTGGGTGGTTTTCACATTGATTTGGTTGCTTGTTTTTGAACTTCTAATACCTCTTCTTGTCAACACCTCATGATCACACAGGCTGGTGCGCTTCTTCCATATGGGCTTTGTTGCTGCCTTGCTAGATGGCTGCTTATTTAGCTATAAATTCTTTATGAATTTTGGATGCAAGTCTCATCAGATACATGAATCCCAATTACAGTCACTCCTT